GAGGTGGGAGGATCTTTGAGCCCATCCAAGGGTTAGCAAAATGGAAATATTGTTAATTTCGACACAAAATATCTTTTATAAAAAGATTTTATCTCATCATGCACTTTTACATTTTTGCCAAACCTTGGAGCTGTAGATATGGCTTATTCAATTCATAGAAAACACCCATTAGCCACATCATCTAATTAGTAAAGCTAATCCTCATTGTCAAACCAATCATCTAGGTCAGATTTATTTTCTAACCTCATTTTTAACTCAACTAAATGTATTAGAATATGTATTTTTAGGTTTTTTAAGCTAGGAAATTATCAAATACATCTCATAACCTCCAATATTAAAAGCAGTCAAGATTTAAATGATATCAAAACTATTAGAATTGGTTTATCCACTTTTATTATACACCATAAAACTTAGAATAAATCTTTATGGTTTTTCTCATTACTTATTTCATAATAATAAAACATAATGTGCAAGATAAATGTTATTTATGAATTAGAGTATAACAGGCAGGATTCCTTCAGTGTCTGTGTGTATACTGAACTTTGGTTTTCAGCTTTTAGGAATAGCTGAAGAAGAATAATATATAAATATTTTAGAATAGCTCTAAACAATTTTTTGGAAATCATAATCAAAATGTTTCCCATATATTTAATGAAGAATAAAATAATATGCTATTTTAAAAGTAATTAGCTTAGAAGCTAAAGCATAATTTTGTTTTTGTTAATAAGAGGCAGAAAGAAGTCAGGATTGAAGTATTTCTCTATTCCATAATAGAATTTGATAAAATAAGTGTATCAGACAAGATAGGCTAGGTCATGCTCCAATAACAAACAACAAATTTGTATGACTTAAAACAAAGGCATGTGAATTAAAACAACAACAGCTCATTTCTAACAAAAGCTATTATTTCCATTATGGGCTGGTGGAACAGGATCAGCCCCTCATAACGATTCAGGAGCACAGGCTGACAGAGCAACAACTCTCTATCTCAGAGGGGAAGGAGAGCTCTGGAGTTTCATCAGGGTAAATAACCATCCTCATCAGAAGGTGACGCTTCACATCTGCTCATAACTCCTTGGCCAGAAAGAGTCACATGGTCCTAACCAATCTCAAAATTCCCATGAAATACAATCTAGCCAAAGTAGAAGGAAATGGAAAAGATCTGGTGAACTGTATCAGTGATTATCACAATATACTTTCACCTTCATTAAACAACACACACCAAATCTAAAATAAAATTATGTATTACTTTTGCACAGTTTATTCCAGTGCAATGTGAAAAATATGAAGGTACTTGAAAATAATCTGTATCATATTTACAATGATCAGTGTCATGACCAGGAGCAGTGGCTCACATCTGTAATCCCAGCACTCTGGGAGACGGAGGCAGGCAGATCACCTGAGGTCAGGAGTTTAAGAGTGGCCTGGCCTACGTGGCAAAATTCTGTCTCTACTAAAAATACAAACATTAGCTGGGCATGGTGGCAGGTGTCTGTAATCCCAGTTATTCAGGGGGCTGAGGCACAAGAATCGCTTGAACCCAGAAGACAGAGGTTGCAGTGAGCCGAGATCACGCCATTGCACTCCAGCCTGGGCAACAGAGTGAGACTCCGTTGAAAAAAAAAAAAAATCTGTCACAAAGCTCCACTACTCCAGCTGTTCAGAGCTGTGTTTCTTTCCAGATAATGATATATCTTATGGAGAAGTACTGAGAATAGCTGAAAAGAATTGCTTAGGTTTAAATATTCGGGAAAAACATTGGCTTCGATACTTTCTTCAATGCTGCTTTGCTCTGCTCTCACCAGACTCTCCTTCAAAAACAATGCACTTTTCAACAGAGGACAGAAGAGATCTAATGATTAAAGGAAAATTACTGTCACTCTTACCACTAACATTCACACAGTATATCTGATTTCAGAAAATCACAACAAACCAATTACCATATTTCTGACAGTCGTACTTCACCGTTAAGTGGAATATATGTAAGATGGGAAGGGACATGAAGCCTAAGAAGGGTTGACAGTGCCTTGATTGATCATTAGAGGAAGCTTCCTCCAAAACATTTTGAATCTTCCTTTCATATGTCATCCTGGAAGGTATATCCCTCACACCTTGGGTGAGAGGGATATACCTTTCTTTTGTAAGGTCCAAGAACTGTTGTAAATGCAGAAGTAGAAAAGAACCTACATGATGCTAAGAAAGAGTACTTATGAAAATACGGTATCTGTAAATTGATTTACTTAAAGCAATAAATTTTCCCCTGCCTCTTGGACTATGCCACACCATAAGAACTTGAAGTTGATGTAGCTTTAATTCTTGCTCTGCCTAATGACAAAGAACATTTGCCAAAGAGTATGATGAGTAATGAAATCACTTAAAGTGGAGGCTTTCCATTTTACCCAACTGACAGCAAGAAATGTAGTTATATTATGATCCAATGCACACATACATATTGTTTCATGAAACAAGTTACCCCTACTACATGTGATGCATTTTGATATTTTGTATCCTAATGTCTTTCTTTTAATGCTGTTCTCTATTCATTAAATTGATTTCACAGCCAACTAATGATTCACAGCACACAATTGGAAAACATAGGACTACAGAAAACAGAAATATATAAGGCAATATCTGATTTATAGAGCAATCTGTGATTATAAAAATTGCTCCCAAAAATGTGTTATCTTGGAGGTGTAAATGGGTAAGCCAAGGTCTGGTGAAGTTAATATCCATAGGAGGTTCGACTTTATTCTATTCATTTCATTTTTCCATCCCTAACATTCCAATTTTCCTATTGACCAGTGACAGTCTCTGATTGGTCAATTTCAAGGGCTTGCTCCTTCCAATCCTGTGGCAGGCTGAAACTGTTCCCAAAGATAACAGATTCTGCAAATGTTACCAGATACGGGGAAAAGGCCTTTGAAGATGTGATTAAATTAAGGCTCTTCATATCCAGAGAGTATTTTGGATTAGCTCCGTGGATCCTAAATGCAATTACACATTCCTAAAAGGGAGGCAATGGGAATTCTGACACACACGGTGAAGGGAATGTGAAGAGGGAACAGAGATTTGAAGATGTTGGCCTTGAAGTCTAAAGTGATGTGGCCACAAGCCAATGAATGCCAGCAGCCACCAGAAGCTGGAAGAATCAAAGAACTGATTCTCCCCTAGAGTCTCTGGAGGGAACACAGCCCTGTCAACATCTTGATTTTGGCCCAGTGATGCTGATTTTGAATAAATGGTCTCTAAAAATGTGAGAGAATAAATTTCAGTTGCGCTACAACACCAAGTTTGTGGTATTTTATTATAGCGGCCTCAGGAAACTAATACGAACCCCATGAAATTGATTTAATAAAAGCGATAGTGCAAAGTACCTAAACAGTCACCTGAAACTCTATATACCTAGCTATGTTTCAAGAAAGATTCATGGTAGCTTACAGCAATTCACAAAACATTGATAACACCAATAATTCATTCGTGAAAAGGGAAAAACAGGAAGGATATACAAGACGAAGCCAACAAGGTTTATGCAAATATATATATAATATATATACACATATATATAAAATATATATACATATATATATAAATAGCTCTTGCCTCAAGCCAATTAAAATTTGGCTTTAAACCAAATTTACAGCTTACACGTAAAGGAAGTCTTCTTGTTTATATGATTAAGTAGCCATTAGATAAAAACAAGCCAACTCCACAGAAACAAGTACAAAAGACAAGATGAAATTTCTCCCAAGAGTTTCGCTCCTTAAGACTTCTTTTCTGGACTGCAGCCATGCATAGGATACTCATTACCCCTTTGTAAACGTAAATGTAGTCACTAGACCCAAATTTATAAGGCTGTTTACTATATGATATAGGTTGATAACATGTCAAAACTTAACTTGATAAAAGCAAATCCTATAGCATAGATTGATTAGACGTCAAACTCTAACTTAAAAGTAAATTCTGTAGGAGGAAAGAGGGTGTAAATACAATATCCACTACTAGGTAGGCAACTCACTGCCGATATTAATTCCAGGGTACATTTTGGAATATTTATAAAATGCCTTGAACGATGCTCAGAAACGAGTACTGTTTCCTCACCCAAACTATCAAACGTTGAGTAAGCGCTGCATACAATGCCTATGGGACGTGGCTTGCTTGAAAACAGATTTAGTATGGAGTGAAATACTCACAGTGTTTTCTACTATCTGCCCAGCGAGGTCTAGATAACTACCGAGGAGACAAACATTCCATCCCTACTCCCTGAAGAAGCTCCTGAGTCAATGGGGGAAAGTGCCCCTAACCCAGCGTAGGGGTAGCAAGGAAGGCTTGCAGCTGGTGAGCCTAATTAACTGTTAGAGGATGAGCAGATAGATGGAAGGGGAGGGGGATAGCGCCGAAAGTCGGTCAGAAAGAGCATACGGCACACGCATCGCCATTGCTTCAGAGCTTTTGGGGGCAGGTCTGTAGCCATTCCCAGCAAAATATACTACCGAACCCTGCAAGCCCTTCCAGAGAGCCAGACCTCCCTAACTCCCCAGCCGGTCCTCCGCACAGGCGGCGGCGCTAGCCTCACTGCGCAGGCGCCAGGTACACCTCGGAGGCCTCAGGAGGGGGAGCCAGTAACTCCGGGTCCACTAGGCCTCCGCTCTAGCCGCCAAGCTTCTGTTTCTCTACTGCTCCCGTAATAGTAGCCTGCGCGAGTTTGGAGCCGGGTAGGGGGCGGGCCTTCCGGGACGAGGGCGCGTGGGTAAGGAAGGTCAGGTCCAGGTAAGGCTGTCAGTGATCTTTGGGGGTCTGCAGCGAGGGGAGATGACTGTAGAGGTCTACGGGGGTCTCCAACCTTGTAGAGTCGCCAGGAATAGGGCGAATCCATTTCATTAGTGATCAGTTCGGGCGGTTAACGTGCATCACACAAATAACTCGGCCTTTTCCTGCGTCAGTTGGGGGATTTCTTAAACGTAGGATACCCGCGTTTCCGCTGCTGTAATTTCCTCTCAGGCGCAGTTACTCTCTTCCAGATGGGTTAACAGTAGAAGGCTCAGTTTCTCTGCTCGCCACACGGCCTTCTGCACCGTAGCTTTGGGTGGTGGGCTGCAGATTAATTTTGTAACCACCGTAAGAAAAATACGGTAAGGTGATATTTAAGAAAAATGTTTGTGAAATGCGCTCCCGAGTCAAACGTCGGTTATCTTGACACTACTACAGCTCCCATCACAGTCAGGCATGATCGAGTCAGGTGGAGGGAGTTGAAGATTGTTCTTGCTGAACTGAATGCAGCTAATACACTTTCAGTGCCGTTGATGCCTCTGTGACTCCGTAAAATAATCGGTACCGGGCTTTTTTTTTTAAAGCATTCTGTTGAGATTGTTTTTATGTTTAGATTGTTTCTATGACAACGTGTGTACACTGAGTTCCTTGGATCCTGATGGTTATTAGGGTAGGTACTGTGCCGTGAATGTTGCATGTTAGCTTCACATCGCAGGTAGTATGACTGTCCTCGTGTGGTCGATGAGAGAACCTGGCAGAGAATAAACACCATTTAAAAACGACGTGACCATTAAAAGGCAGAGGCGAGATTATTGTGCAGCTGGTGCGTTCTGCTAACCAATGGTTTCTGGGAAACTGGAGAAAGCTCTCTCCCAGAACGATTTACAGACACACGTACATACACATATCAGCATACAGATTTACACTTCCACTGTTTTCAAAACACATCCAGGTTAAGAACTCTTGCACTTCATCTTTACCTTTCAAAGAGAAAAGGCAAACCTAATACAAAGCCACTTATTGAAATAACCTTTTAAATGCATGAGACCTATCAAAAAGATCAAAGAAGTTTGCCCTTTTATGCCAAAGTAAAAATATGGGAATTTTCTTCTCATGTGAGCTTAATTTGTTTTGCTCAGCACATTTGAGTAACTTGTTTTTGCTTAGCATTTTCAGTTCCAGTTAACTTATTTCATGATAGTACAGTTTTCTTTAGTTCACATTTTAAGGAAGGTAACACTTAAAGTGGCTTGTTTTGTACTCCCTGAGAATGGCTTCATGTGAATCAAAATGTAATTGATATGCACATTGTAAGAAAAGCTCCCCTGTCATTCTTCGTGAGAGACATGTGTCTGTGCACTGTGGAAGGAAACAACAAAGCAGTGTCATTGGTAATTGTTAAAAGCACTTTCCGTTTCCTCCTGTTTAGCAAGCCTGGGCCTTTGTTTCTAGTAAGGGATTTAGGTTTGAAGAGGCTTATTCCCTTTCTCTGTCATAAAATTTTAGGACTTGGATTTTATGATATAACCATGTTCCGGCCGATTCTAATGTGACCTTTTTACTTACAAGTTATGTATCCCAGTAATTTGCCACATTCCAAAATGGGCATGGAGATAACAGCAGCATCCTGTGATGGCTTCAGTGACTACTGTCCTACTGAGTCCCTTCCTCCTCCTGGCTACCTTGGCAAGTTACCAAGGTGCTGGTCCTCTCCCTATGTTTCTCTGTCTGTCAGTCTTTGTAAGAGAGGTCATCATTCCAGGGAGGCACGAAGTTTTTACTGTATGGAATATGTATCTGGCTGTCTCTCT